GCAAGTTTCAAAGGATTCTTCGAAAATATTTAAATAAAATTTTACCTACTTTTCGAGCATTCAAAAGATTGAGAGCCCCGGTTTGTGATTGTCTAACAGATTCACAGATATATCAATGGATCAGGCGCATAATGTTGTTACGGTAAAGACTGCAGCCTACCAAACTAATGGAGTTTTTCTTGTGGGGCGTAAGGAGGAACGTTATCAAAATTTAGAGTATTTCGATCTAAATTTCCGAGTTGTCTCCCCGCTTACTTTTTTTTGGGTGAAATTTATATATGACCAAGTTCTAGTAAATTGTTTTGTCGGTCATAAGGATTTACCTTATAGAAACTCCGTATTACCACTATATATAAATTTCAATTAAAGCTTGCGGAGTTCATAATTAAATTGTTTAAAAGAGCCAAATCTCTAACTAAATATCATCACAGTCTTCGACACTGCAAACATAACTTATTAACCAATTTCAATCGACATTGATCTTGTTATCTTACGGTGAAAATATGAGCTTCTGATATCCAATATTTAAGACAAAATGAACATTTTAAAATTGGTACACGAATCGCGTGCCAGAATGCTTTCGAGCGCCATTTGTGGTAGAATGGTTGGACTTTGCTGATGGTGAGCGTATTACGGGGCCGGGGGTTGAGAGTCGGGTATGCCTGACCACCACCCGTTCTTTAACGTTTGTGGAACAAAAAGTGTTTTTAACTTGCGGGCGTTCTACACGTTCCTTCGGCACTTATTAAAGGTCTCCCTTTAATCAGGGGGGTTGGATGGCCAAATGGTTAGCACGCGCGCGCTGTATCATACGGTCTGTCATTGAGTCAACTGGCGGGGTTTCGATTCCCCGGTTGTACGTGACAAGGAGTAGGGTCGCCTGTCCAACCTCGTGGGTTTTCTCCGGGTCCTCCGGTTTCCTACCACAGCTAAAGACCTCTACACGCAAGCGAATTATTGAAATAAAATTGAACCATGTGTTAGTCCCGAAATGACCTAGTTTGGGTCGAGTGGACGTTAAACCCCATTTCTCCCTCTCTCCCGTTAATCAATACCTGATGACTGCAAATCAATACAGTTTCCCTTTCTCTCCTTAGATGTCCAAAATAAAAAGAATATTGTAGAAGTATATGAAAAAAAAGAAAAACCTAGGGGCATGTCGTGGATTTAGAACGTAAATAGAAATATAGAAGGCTATGATCGCCAATATTATATTTCTTGAAGATAATAAATATGATAATATTACATGTTAATTATTTTAATCACCTAGCGTTGTAACGAATAAAATATCAATTGTTACATGATAACACACCTGTAGTGCCGTAGCCGTTCACATATCTGTATCCGCAGGAAAAAAGCGGTTTACGGTAGCAATTAACAGTAGCAAGCAGCGTGTTCAATTTGCCGTAAGAAAGATAGAAGATATCCTGTAACTAACGCTACATGTTATGCGAGATTTTAAATATCGATTTCAATCGATATGCGTTTGTCGTGATTCATAGTTAAATTCTAATCATTAAATAGTGCGGTTGGTTAACGTGATTGACGGAACCTGTAGTTAAGGACGCTGTCACACGTCACCATTACAGGAGAGTACACCGGTTATTCGTATTTAACTCCTACTATAACGTATAAAGATCTTGTCATCTTAACCATTCTTTCTACATGATCAACTTGTCGACAAATTGATACTAATCCATTTCACATGTGTCAATCATTAATTGCCAGTTTTCTTCCCTCAAACAAGCAGACGACAAGATTGCAATGATGGAAGCAAACGTCGGACGGGATAGCATTTCCGCGGAACCTGCCGAAAAGAAACGATTACAGAAAACCCGATGCGTTTAATCTGTTAAAGCAGCATGACATTTGAAACTCGACTGACAAATCAACGGAAATAAAGAAACTACGAAATACAGAAACATTTGAAATGGCAGGCGGCCATATCTCGTATTGTCAATGGAAATCTGGCGTTAACTACGTGCACATCGGACGATAAAAAATGATATCACGCCAGGACTATAATTTGTCGCGGGAGAAGATTTAGGAAACGGGGGACCACACGAAGCAAATCACTCCGATAATTATTAAATCAGGAGCAAGCATTGTTCTAAGTTCGTGTGGTTGTTTCTGTGTGAAGAATAAAGTTCGTCAATAGGATTTGACCATAGTATTGCTACGTGCTGCACCTTTCATTCTAATATCAGTCAATCCTTACAAATCAAGTTGGACCACATTTCATTCGTCCTACCTATAGAAATTAGGAACGACCCTAGGTCCCCTCCCACCCAAGCAACGATGTGAATGTTAAACATAAAATATAAAATCATGTCATTTGAAAAGCCCATGTCAGTTCTGTTGGCATCTGCTTCCCATATTGTTAGATTATGCTGAGTCTGAATTTCCTGTCCAAAAGTGAGGCGAATCGAGGGTGTTATAAAGATAACTTATATAACTTAACCTCAAATAGTGCGGTTTTTTTTTTAACACGACAGGGATTTTGTGTCACATTGGTTTTCTTAAAAACTTTACCCTCTCAAACTTTAATTTTGGTTTCAATTTTTGCTTTGGTCTTTTATGCAGTATAGGTGAAGCGATATAATAATTAGCTATTGACCTATACTTAAGTACGTAAGAAATAATATGTATGTTTTCTCCTCAGCCATGTTTGTTACGGTGTGTAATATTTATAGATCAGTTTACATAATAGGGGGCCACGGTGGCTCAGTGGGTAGGACGTTGGCTTGATCCCTGCGTTGGCTGAAAAAGTTCATTTGATTTTCGTGGGTCTCCCTTGTCGGTGGTGTAGGACGGAAGGCCTGACAAATGACAATGTATAGCCGTTCAGACGGGACGAAAAACCGAAGTCCCGTGTACACATTGGCTTGTACGTAAAAGAACCGGACAAACTTTCCCTAATAGCCATGTGCGTGGCGTATGCCCGACTTCATTAGCCCAGTAGGAGCCGAACAGTGGGACGTTAAACCCCATTTCTTTTCATTTGTGTACACAATAACAGTATTCGGTATGTTTTAACTTGTAAACAACAGTTGGCCATCTAGAAACTAACATACTTTGTTTCACAGAATGAATGAAATTCAGGTTAACGTTCCATTATTCGGCACCAACCGGGTTGACGAAATAATGAAGTGTGCTATGCAGGAAATTTTGCAGTGGCAGTAATTGAATTCCAACTGCCGGGGTTCCTTTACGTTCACACTAACGTGTACATGGGACTGTTTCACAGGTGTAATACCTAATACAATTGTGTCTTCTGCGGCCATGTCATGATTTGAACCAAGACATCCCAGTTCAATATTCTCACAACATGCCAGACCTGAATTAGATTCTTTATTTATTGACTCTTTTATTTTAAATTCCAATTATTGCCCTTTTAAACATAACACGATTACCACATCAATAAAACTATTAAACTAATATTAAACAGATCACAATCCTTTCAACATATCATTTAGACACGAAGAAAAAATATTAGACTACAATTAAACTAGAACTATGTGCACTTAAAATATTCAGTCAAAGCTCTTTAAAACATGAATATTATTCAGATATGGGAGTTGTTCATGCTGAATTATTAGATTATATTGGCCATACATTGTATTATAATCCAGTTAATTGAAAAAATAACTTCTCTTTTAATAAATGATTAATTTAAATGGTGTTTCTTTGTATTGCTTTTTATTATTTTGTATATTGTTAGTATGTATTTGATAAATTGTTCAGTATGTAATCTAGATATCATCTTGAAAAAAGTTAAAACAATGGTTCTTGGAGACCATGTTGGTATTTCATTTGATATAATATATACATTTTTTTCCCAGTTTAGAGTTCGTTACCTCCATGAAACTTCTCCTAAATGTCTCCCCTTAGATTTGAAATACCTCCCCTGTCTCCGGTTTCAGTATCACTGAGTTAGGGCAAAGAGAAATATTTAAGATGAACACCACCACCTCTCCCATATTTGATTTGCAGTGACTATAGCAGTCATCCCGCACCCTCTTCCCGTTTTAAAAATTCGGGTGTCTACATTTTATATGTTCGTGCGTTCCACCCTACAGTTCTACCAACCGATATCACTGGAAAGTTCGACTTACATTGCATTTTATCATAAAATTAATGTATTTAATTCCTCAAATCCATACATAATTTTCGATCTGCTATGAGTTGGCTATACATTTATTACAAATGAGATCTTTGGAAATATCTGAGACAGGTCTGACGATCCATCGTTCAGGGTCTAAGTGACAGGTGGTAATGAAGAGCTTTACGGTATGGGTTTAGAGGTTTTGTAAATAAAAATATAAGAATGTATATGATGAATAAGGTATAAGAAGTATAATATAAAATATAAGAATGTTTATGAACAAAGTATATTAAGAGGTATAATGTAAACTATAAGAATGTTTATGAACAAGGGTATAAGAGGTGTAATGTAAACTATATAAGAATGTATGTGATGATCAAGGTATATAGGAATGATATTAATGTAAAATATTAGAATGTATATGAACAAGGGTGATGTTTTATAGGAAGGACCCTTCTATTATCATACCCCTCCTCTCCGTTTATCCGACCACAATACAACTATGGAGGGTCCATTGAAGAAGCATTATTTGTCGCTGTTTTTCAAGTTATAATCATGTTATTTACTTTAGTTGAGCACCTCAAGGTATATGTTTACCTAGTTTTACATCCTCGTATTTATTATGATTCCATCTTATTCTCAATACTAGTGGGCATCACATCATAGACAAAAATGATTGACATCTGCTGCGTTCTGCTCGCCAGATTGAGCCAATCACAGCCACTATCTCAACGTCGAACGCCCAGCAGCTCGAGTGATTAACGAAGGCTTTCTCAAGCCCGATTAAATAGTGAATGTCGACTGTGACCGCTAGCCCCTCCCCTCTAATCACGGCCGTATAGAAGCCATTGAATATCGCCTTATAACAAGAAGAAAAACCCAGGACTTCGTCAATTTCTAAACATTTGCATTGAAAACGATGTGTTGTGTGTTTATAACCTTATCATTTTAACGAGTTATCATCCTGTGTCATAGTGTTTTAGAACTGTAATAGGGGGATTTAACGGTAAAATACTGTATTTACAACTCGACGAACTACAGATTCCTCACGAATCGGTTTCATATCACGACGAAGAACCGTTAACGTAAAGTTTACAAAACTCGACGTTAACTTTTAACCATTACTAGAGACTGTATCCCCCTTCTCTCGTGGAGAGGACAAGGGTTTGGGGATAAGAATATGGTAGAAAAAACGGCGATGCCTTTGTCAGATAATGGTATGCAAGGACAAGGGACATGCTCGGATATTATTCCACTAGACTGCTATGCTCGGGTAAGTTATTCATTAATTGTATATACATTGATATAACATGTATGAAAATACCTGTCTTATAACCTTGAACATTTTCATATCAAATATATACACATACAATTTTTTCATAGCTTTTACATACCAAATAAACACGGATTCTTATAACTCGCCGAATTTCTTCTCTATATGATTAACTATATTATGATATTTTTATTCTTAGACAATTGTTAAAATTTAATTCTAATTTAAGTGATAATTGTCATTGTGATATAAAACACAGATGTGAATGTCAGTGATAATAGATATCAATATATCATTAGATTATGCAATAGGATTGAACCGTCTGTAGTCAGAGATCTAAATTATCCTCTGCTAGTCATCAGGTACCTGTCAAAATGGCACCACACACCCCTGTTAGATGTATAAGTAAATTAACGATGCAGTACAGAATTCTGGTTTAAGGAATTTCACTGACAATAAGAAAAACAGCTGAAAAAAATGAAATAATTCCTCGTCATTAAGAGTTAGCATTACAGAAAAATATACCGAATTCATAAAACAATTCTAGATAATAACATTTTAATATTCTACATAAGTAAGAATCTCTTGACACCAATATTATTATTTAACAGATTTGTTTTTTACACAATTATTGATAGTTTTTGATAAATTATTTTCATTTAAACACTAATAAATATAAAAGGTGTTCCACTGTATATCATTATATATTATAAGTTTGACACATATGTATTTATAATATTTGGGTGTGTGTTATAGCCCATGTGTTGAGAAACAACATCTCTGATGGGAAAAAGAGATGATTATTAATGATCTGATTATATACACACAACTATTAAAAGTTTTCATAATTATTGAAATAGATTTATGCACTATACAGTAAGTATAAGACAAAACAAAACTATAGTTATTTAGTAATAAATTAAAAAATGAATATATTTACTCGATTTGGATGCCCTTTATTTGTTTATAACACTGCATCTCTAACTTAAAAGACGATGAATTTAGGAATAATTTCATTACACACAAAAATACTCATAGTTTTATAATTAGATTTATTTATTTATGAAATGCAAAACTATTTCACTATCATTATATATATAATAAGTTTTGGTAAGCACTGAATTTGAATGTACTGTATAATAAATATCATATGTTTATAAAATTACATCTCTCAGCTGGATAGAAGATGGAAATAAGTGTGATAAATTCATTAACTGATGCACTTCAAGTTATATATAAGTAAATAAAAAAACAAACAAAATCATTCCTGTATGTCAGATATATGTTTCAATTTTAACAGAAAAATGTCATACTTTAAATCACTTTTCTTCCTGTTATATCTTATTCAGATGCTTATTTTATTTGGGTTATTTGAATAATTGGTATAAAGTAGGAGATACTGGTGCAGTTGGGATGTGGTCATAACGGTCAAAATTCACATTGGTCAAAACGGCCAAAAAAGCTATACATTTTTATAAAACATTATTTTTTCTTTAATACAAATACCAGCTGATTATTAGATAAAAAGAACTATTTTGAACATTACTCATCAATTCATGAATAAAGCGGTATGCTTTTACTATTAATTACATAGAATTATGGAAATGAAATGAGAGTATAACGTTCTATTGCACCAGCCGGACTAATGAAGAAGGGGGGGGGGATATCAAAATAGTGTGCAACATGTAAATAGATTGATGTATTTGTTTATAATTATATAATTGAATAAATATTACTGACTATTGATTATTGTTTAATAAAAAAATAGTTAATTTTATACTCCTGAATAAACAAATTATGCTTGAAATAGGGATTTAACATATTCAAACGTATACATGATATGAATATGTCATGAACTTGTATTTACATAAAGAAATATACCATTTGCAGTTATATATAAATAACACAGTCATGAACTTGCGTGGGCTACAAAATTGGTTAGCTTGGGATTTTTTTTAAATAGAAATTCAGGATGATTAAATAACTAGCTGCCATTGATGTGTAGCACTTTCTGTTTATTTATGGTACTAAAATAAATGAATATTAAATATTAAACTGGTCTTTGGTGGACCATAATACATACTCTTACAAGTTCCAGTCCATTTGTATGACATATAAAATATGCGCATAGGCCACAAAAATGGCTTAGTTTGAAACCCCTTGTCCCCAATAGAAATTCAAACATTGATCAAATAATTTTGCAGGGCTCTTTTACATGAAGCACCAGTTATTGGTTCATGGTACCAGAATAATTGATTATTCAATGTTGGAATATATTATAGTGTCATTCCATTCAATTTGTATAATACATAAGACTACAAATGTGTTTAGTTTAAGAACCGCTTTCTTTCCACAACAGAATTTCAAACACTAATCAAATAGGTTTATAGAACGATTTTACATTAAGGTCGTTTTATACATTTAAATGTCTGTGAATATCAAAACGACATTATAAATTAAATATTCTGCAACAGTATTCTGTTCGCATATGTTATTCATGCAAATGCTATATTCTCTTACGACAATGTGATAGTAAATTATGTTAAACACACTATTTGCAAACTGACAAGCGTTTTTTCACTAAATTATAGTAATTAGTTTAGAGAGCTTAATGAAAATTATTTAGTATTTAAAAATGTACCCTCACTCTTATCATTGTTAGCTTAAAAATAAGAACAGATTTTATTTTCTCGGATATTTTACAGAATTAATATTAATTGGTTGTATATATTTTTGTGACAGCGACCAGGTATGGAAGTAGACGATCAACCATGGATGTGTGCTGGCTGTGGTATGAGGATTTGTGATCGGTTTTACCTCATGGCTGTCGATAAACAATGGCATGTGCAATGTTTAAAATGCAGTGATTGTAAACTACCTCTTGATTCTGAATTAACCTGTTTCGCCCGTGATGGCAACATATACTGTAAAGAGGATTACTACAGGTAAGATAGACAGAAGAATGAATGGCTTTATTAAAGAAATGAGCGAATGAATTGATCATTTGAACCATTCTTAAAGAGTATAATTAATAATAAAATGAATATATTCAAATGTATCTTTAAATTTTTATAATTTAAGCCCATATATTATTGCATAGTGAGACCGTTTCTCTTATTTGAAATTCTGTGGCGAATGTTCACCAATAATAAGCAAGCTGATCAAAATTTATATCAATTAAGAATAAATGAAGGATGAGATTAAATATGAGTTGCTATATTTTCTGTATAATTATTTAATCCAATGACAATGTCATTTGATGTGTATGTTACACCGAAAGATGTAATGTATAAGTGTACATATAATCAATTTAGAATAAACCCAATAAACAATAAACAAACACAATATCTACGACATCAAAATAATTTTTAAATTCATATTTCCGATTTTTATATAGCGTCAATCTGTTTTCAACAATTGGTATTGTTTGTATCCATAATATCCTTCTCTCACTCTTCCTTCACTCACTCATCTTCACTCAGTCATCGCTAAGTAGATATCTTCATTGGTGGTCCTTCATGTCTAATCATTCATTAAAGATTCATTAACGACAATGACACAGATGATACCAACTTAATTCATTTTTAACTGTAAATAAATTTTAAATGTCTCTAAAGCTGGTTTATGGACACATTTAAGTGTGATGAATCAGTACATAGGAACAGAAGTTATTAAATATAAAACCAACTCTAGCATATGTATTTTGTAAACTTCTGACCGCATGTTTCATCACTCACTGTTCTGATCATGTTTCGGTACACATAATGATAATTAGTTAAAAATTCAATTTTCAATTATGTTAATTACAGTGAGTGTGACAATGTTATCATGAAAAGGACATGTTCAAATATCTCACGTCGATCAGTGTTATACTAACACTGCAATTTACGCTGGTCAAACGGTTGCGTGGCAGAACTTTAAGAAACGGGTACCTGCTATCTATTGCTACCTTTGCAATTCTATTTCGAAATTGAAAGTTTACGTGTGTCGAGATTGATTTTATCAAAAATGTCTATCTTCACTTACAAAATGACCCCCCCCCCCCTTTAAGTCGTATATTATGTTAGTTTAAAAAATCTAAAAATCCTGAAGCGTTGTCCATTTCCACGGGGTAGACAGTTCTAAAGAGTATTTAATTTTATATACATATTTTTATAAATATAATCTGGTAATATTGTTGCTTATGCAACAATTACTGGGTCGACCAAAAGTTAGCAGTGAGAATTGTACCAACACTAATCCATCATCAAAACCCCACAAAAGCCTTTAATGTTTCACATAATATGTTAATATTTTATAATTAATATTCATCATGCACAATTTCCCGAAGACAAAAAAAAGAAAAAAGGAATAATTAAAAAAATATATTTTGTTTCGGAAGTATTTTTCATAGTACACAACCGATTGTGCAAATACTACGGGATACATAAAGCGAAATAAAATTAGTAAATAGTATAGAATAAATCGATATATATTGAAACTGGATTGATTTAATTAACAAAGGAGAATACAATAACCCATCAACCAACAATAAAAAAGTTTGCTTAGTCACGTAGTCCAGATTAGTAAGACATGCGTAAAAATTAGTTATATGTGATTTGTATGGTATTTATTGTATAATACTAGATCAGAGTCCCCCAACGCCTTCATTGTCATTTGAAGAGTTTACCGTTATGGAAATGTTTTCATGTTTTTTCTGTATCTCTTTTAATTACCGTTCATCGTTTATTCTTTTCTGAGAGTATTTTTTATTACATGGCTTGCCTATAGTCTTGTATTTACCAGGAATCAAGATAAAAAGATTCCTTGGATAAAAGAAGTTTGTTCAGTGATATTAATTATTAATACACGGCAATTCTGGCACAATACCTGCGTTTTATATCGAGGTGTTTCGAATAGAATGGAAGGAAACGTTTTATTTATTTGATTGAAAATAGCCTTTCACTTTTATGTCACCATTATAGATTTTTTAAATTATTATTCATAAAACATACATTCATAGAATTTGGTAAATAAAACACCAACTAAGAAAACCGAATAACAGTTCGGGAAAACGAATGAAAATTTAATGAAAATCTATGAGAATTTTATAAATAAGTGAAGAATGAATAAAAAGAGAATAATAATAATAATAAATAAATCAATGGGAAGGAGAAAGGAACTTTTATTGTTGATATTCCTCGAAAAAAAAATGGTTTAGACTTTGATTAACGGCATGTCTTAGGGATATGACGTAAATGTATTCCACGTATTCCATATATGTATTTATCATTAGACTTTTAATGTCGCTACTTATTACGGCACCTTAAGATTGTCATAGCAACTAGCCCCAGACAAAATGGTGTACAAGCAGCGGCGTTAACTATGACATTTTGTAGCCCTCATCGTTTTGCCGTTTAAAAGTATGTTAAATTGGATGATGTTTCCTCTGATAACTATTTTTAAATCTAGATATCTATTCCTATACCAGAATAGAAACATATCTTTTAGGCTTGCTATGAATTATATACATGTGTGGAAAACAACGTTATGCTAGAAATAGAATGATTAATTAGTGAATGAAAAAAAACAACACAATGAATGAAAACATAATTATGTATGAAATAAAAGAGAAAATGAGAATAAATTCCAAAATGTTATTTTCATATTAAGAAAAGAAACATTCATAATTGTTTAAATTAATTTCTTTAATAAAAAACTACAGTGAATTTCCCCAAATAGTAAGAATGTAATTATTGAAAACGAATACTTCAAATAACAAAAATCTCTATATTAGAAAGAATGTGCAACTGCGTGAATGAATGATACTAACAAGTTTTATATTTATTCATTTATCATTCTGCACATCATCCGTCTTGCACACCAACTGTGTGTGTATTGTGTAGTGTAACGAAACGTCTGCTGGCTTATTTTACAAGATTGGAAATAAACTGACATCAGTCAGAAAAATATTGACTTTGTTATTTGATAGTGGAAGAGATAAAAGTTGAAATACCGAGGGAACTATAGAGAACCCATCGTCAACTTGTACCTCGTACCATCTTAGCATCTTTTTCACCAACCTGCTGAGAAAAGCACAAATTCTAATTTTCCTTTTCACAGATAATTCCTTTAAGATGGTTACGTTAAGGATTTGTTTCTAATTAATAATCATCGTTCATCAGCGATATATACTTCATCGTCTGTTGCGATCCTATATATTTAAACGCTGATGAACAAATTGTCTTTGATATATTTTAAGAGAATCTCAGATTACACGGAAGACGGTAGTTGGATGAGTACTGTCGTCAACGTAATCTATATTTTCATTTTTGCTGGTCATTAGAAATATACTTTCAGATCAAAATAAGTTATAATTCGGGAAACGTTTCTTTAAAGGGACAATACGCACAATCAAAAGTACTCTTAACAAAAAAACAACAACCTCATTTTCCTAAACTTAAAGGGGCATTATGGGAGACTAGATAAAGAGCTGACAGTTCTCTTTAAATAGTCAAAAAATAGATAACGTACAGAGAATATGCGGAAAATTTCTGTCAAATTGCTCCACTCTGAACCGAGATATTAGCGATTGAATTTTAGGCCTAGCCTCGATCATCATCTTGATTATCCATTTTGACGTTAAATCATCCATCACAAAATGTATTTAAATCCAATAAATATCGCAGGCTAACGATAGCAACAAGCGTTGATTATGGTCTTGATAAGTTAATTAATGTCTAATTAATAATTTAGATAACATTTCAGGCCTAAGGAAAGATCTGCAATAGGCAGATTGACCTCTTGCATAATGTGTGTTTAAGTCATTTGGTGTTTATATCCGAGTTCATAAAAAAAATGATTTTATACAAGTCAGACCAATTTAAAAACAGGATGATTGTACGGGAACTAATTCTACTGAAATTTGAAACATCCGACATAAACGTCATGACGAATACATGCACGGGTATATAAGCACTTAATCAATTTTGTAGATAAAAATATAAAAGTTTGATATTTTATACATTAAAAATGTCTTAATTTTTGAATTTTCAGACGATTTGGAGTGAAGAGATGTGCTAGATGTCATCTTGGTATTGCTGCTAATGAACTTGTTATGAGAGCCCGAGATGTTGTTTATCATTTATCCTGCTTTACGTGTAATTCGTGTAATAGACCTTTAACTACCGGTGAACAATTCGGTATGAAAGACCATCTTGTGTATTGTAGAACGGACTATGAAATGATATTTCAAGGTGACTATTTATCAAACATGTCACTAGGACTAGGGGGCCATCACCACAGTCCAACTTTACCATATTATAACGGGGTCGGAGCAGTTCAAAAAGGACGACCACGAAAACGAAAAAGTCCGTGTCCGGAAATGGACGGATGTCCACAAGGCATGGGTAAGTTTTTTTCAATTTTTGATTTGATTATTTTTACACTATATCATTTACATAGTAAATTTATCAACATGGAACTCGGGTACCATATCATTGATCAGTTATATATTTGCGGTGCCAACATAAAATGGACATCGTGGCAGTTCCAACACGTTAGGCACGTATTGGTAACCATTATTTATTTGGAAAAGTTTCATTTAAAAGGCTGTATTAACAATGGCTTTAAATCCTGTAGCCTTTGGCATCTCCATATTTTTTTATTATCAGACATTAAAGACAACTCATCAGGTTTCAAGAACGGAAACGTTAATGTAATTAGCATCACTTTATTGACATAATTTGAACATTGTTCTAGCAATGTTGTGGTATAACTGAAATTATCCGATTTTTGTGCAATAATATCGGGGGATTTATTTACTAGTGTGAACAAATACTGGACTAATTCTAACACCAAATCCTTTTCACATCTACTGTTAAATCGACAAACACACATTTAAATCTCTGATTCATAGTATTTAACACAAATCTTTTCATTTCATGTCCACCCTGTTTTCTTGTGTTTTTATCATTAATCTATGTAACATTGTGAATATTGTCCCGGTTGTACCCTAGTATTTATATACAGTAAATATATTAAGATATATGTATATAAAGAATGCTCTTACAATAATGTACATGTGTATAAAAACTCTACTAAAGGTATGGTGTATTACGAGGTTTATATGTACATTGGTAGTTTGTCTTCCATATCCGATACATTCATACCACAATGTCGACTAAATTTGAGAACAAAACCCACTTGTTCGCTAAAATAGTGAGACGTCTTATTGAGCACGGCTCATGGAACAATTAGTGTTTGCCTACCGTCCATTTCTTTTAACATAAGGTGCGTTGCCTACAAAATAAAGCACACACCTCCCAACACCTTTTCCGAGTGGGGTCCTTCAACAGGCCATTGAGACGGATACTCTATAGATTGACTTCCCACGTTTATGAAAGCTCTATCAAATTTCTGTCACTTGAATCAAATGTCTTTATTCAAACAACTCGCGCTCTGTCCATAAACACCGGTCAACTTCGCAAAATAAACCCTGGCCTTTTTACAACTGTCCACTGCCATGGGGGGTCCCCCATCTGACTCGAGATCGTCTGCTACCAATCTGCTTTCTCAGGGTTTAAAGGCAACCGTCCAGCCAAAGATATATAAGAATCTGCCCTAAAACTATCAAATTTGCTACCGGCTGCCACAAGCCTCTTGGGAAAATCTGCTCAATACGGTCGCTACAACATTGATAAAAGTTTTAATACATGTAGAATGCAGTGTTTATTTATTATTGTACACGTCCATATGTAGTTATATTTTATCTTTGATATCTCTCTACATATATACTGTCGGATCAATTTTCATACGAACTAATTTTTTTTAGTGCAAGAATCTGTGTATTTTTTTTTAGTGCAAGAATCTGTGTATATTTTTACTGCAATATCAAAAGTAAAATTCTCAAGCCATCACGCCATTTAACAATTAAATTATTGTCATAAAAAGATTTGAAATGTTTTAATCATAAAGAAACAAAGTGTTATCTTAAATAAAGCTGGTTTGGCTTAAAAATCGTCCTGATAGTTTTAAGATTTTTATTTTCTTTATTAATTTTTTTTTGTGACTTCTCGCAAATTCCATCTTATCACGATAAGTGTGTATTTATTCATAAACAAACGAAGAATGTTTGCACACCATTGGAATAGTTTTATTCAAGTGAGAAAATATTTTAGTTAACGGTATCGAATTCACGTTGATCTACATTCCATCATTGTATGAAAAGTTGTCGGTTAGTTAAACGTCACTGAATCTAGAATGTCTTAAAAGATCAACCACCTTCGAGAACCTTGTGCCATGGCTTTGGGCATCTGTATACATAAAAAGAGATGCCTCTAAAACGGGTCTTATTAAAAGACGTTCATTGATATTTAAAATTGCGAATATAAAGCCTAGCTTACAATTAAAAGTTGATCTGACGTTATTACAAGGTCTTCAACCTTTGATAACTGGTTACAGCTATATTTTAGGCATATAGGATGCTTTGCTAAATGTTAAACTTATTAAATAAATAATTATGGTTATAAACACTCCTTATCATACGAAAATGAAATAAGACTGGAATGCTAACTTAATGGGGTTCTTTTACTATATAATTATTTTACAATTTTCTTATAGATTACAAACTTTATGCAACATACAAAAAGATTTGTAACTCTTTCATAGGGTTTGAACATTATAAAATACACAAAACAAATGGTAAATTCCAAGACTTCGTGACGGATAAAGTGACCAAATATTTGGTAGTCTGAATAGGGATACAAAAAGGTAACATTTGATTAGTAGATAAATGTAATTTATCGTTGATTAATGATACAAATTTCAAATATTTTAGTTAATATATAGATACGTCTTATTGTTGTTATGGAGACCACCCCACAAGATGGCGTCCATTCTGGCTTCATTAATAACCTTGTCATCCTGAAGATTAAAGGATGTGGATGTAAATAGAGGGGGGACTTACATCTGAACACTCCCCCTTCTCCTTTCTGTTTATATGATACCAGTCATTAGTTAGGTGTCGTGTTTATCTAAATCTTTTTGATACATTGAATTCATTTCCAAATCTTTTTTCTACATAATTAGAACGGTCGTTGTCACTGTATCTTCATTAACAGGTTAAAGGGACGATCGTACATTTTAGGAGAAATAGCATCTGGTATATACTTACATTGGTTTTTCATACTCAGATACACACCTTTAATTTGCAAATAGGTTATACCCTAAACTATTTTCCCCAAGCTCCATTTAGAATTCCTTATGTTCTATATTTTCAAATAATACGTCTTATAGGATATATTGAGTCATTTGGCAGGTAACAAAGAGGATTGCATAACCATTTCTTGTTCATTAAAATACTGGTTAAGTTTATTCATGAGATATTTTCCCACGAAAACTGTCATTAAAATCGAAAAATCGTTTTTACAATTTAGACTTGACTTTGGATTTGAATATAAAAATTGCAGCAATAAGGCGACGTTGTACTGGTAACGTCGAAAACCATTCTTCCATTTGACTAGTGAGGCGATTGTTGGCCACCAAAAATAATTTAATAATCCAGTAATAACAGGGATTTTAGGTTGTGATTTCCACCATTAATTCGATGTTTAGTATTGAGATGGTAATTACCCAGTGCCTATATTATTATCAGTCGTCTGGGGCGGCCTACCACCATTGTTAATGGTCGCCTCGTGTATAATGTTATCTCTGTTCTATTTTGCTCTATCTGTTGATCACTGTTATCAACTAGTTGCTCATCTTGTCAAAATTAGGCGCTTAGTTAGATGAAGGCTTTATACTGTGACGAGCAAAGTGATTTCAATATCGCTGACTCGTATTATACAGACAGCGTCAGGGATTGCCCATGGTTTGGTCGTTGCGCGGAGCTCATCGCGTGGTGTGCCCTTCTAGACAGCCCACCGTGACATGACAATGTATCTGTTTCAATAACCGATAGATAGAAGACAGAGATAGTCTGCACCAAACATTTAGTTTGCCAGATGATGTTTACCAGGGCAGATGTCTCTCTCCTCCCCTCCCCGCCATACTTTCGGAAAACACCTGACCGCGACGGCGGCTTTTCCAACACTAAATGTTTCCTCCCGCTGGGATCCCAACAAATTATTTACACCTCCGACTAGTTGTCTCTGATTACCTAAATTATCTGTTAAATATAGAATAGGTAATCCTAATTAAGGAACTACTGATGATACCGTATCTTTTATTGTTGAATTTCACACTATTTCCGATGAGCAATTATCAGTCCTTGATTTGCAATATCTTGCATAGTAACTGTGATGATACAGCATTATATATGCTGAACATTGTTTGTTGAAAAGCAAATTTGTAAACACGATCGAAATACAAAACAAAATCCAGAAATATTTCAGTTACAACAGAGAAGTATATGAAGTGATGGGAATATTGTAAAATATCGAATTTTCAAAGATCTGCTGGTAGGAAAATTGTCACATTTGTTATAATATTGACTCAATCATCTCTGATATATTGGTTATTTTCTTCTCAGATCAGTTGAACATTTGTTCAGCATACAGAATGATAAGAGCTTGATTGCTACCAATATTTGTACGAAATTTGAGAGAACAGCTTGGAAAACTGTATGGAGAAACTTTGCTTAGATTGGGATTATTAATGTGAACAGAACTAATAAAAGAAATGGACGAATGTAAACCCAGAAACGGAGATGAAAGAAGGCATTCTTATGATATATAGATCTAGCTAATTAGTAGCTGGCAGATGCAATAATAGATTTTTTTCTCTCCATTTTGACGGAGCCGTTGTTTCAGTTTCGCTGAAGAATCGATATACGTATAGTACGGGAAGAAGTATGTTTACAGTATGAAATATTAATAATTCTAGAAGTCGTGATCAATCGTCATAGTTTGAACACTGGGAATCTGAAGCTCCTTCTGTCACGTATTAACAAACTTTCTTTCTTTACTCTCTTATATTCTCTTCATTCATTCTTTTCTCTCTTTTATTCATATTTTCACCTTCTTTTTCTCTCTGATTCCCTCCTTGACCTCCCCAGATCAATATTAACGTATTTCATAGCATTTTGTAATACATTGATTTCCCATCCTAAAAAAATATTTCAATTAGTAAGGACAAATGAAAATTTCTGTCAAACGTTCAATAGTGTGAAATATTTTTACAGTTCTTTGTCATTTAAACATGATGTTATTGGACGATGTGTAACGATTTTTGTTTAAAACGACACTTGCTGTCGTGGTTTCTGAATCATGTAATAAGCACATACATGTATTAAACTCAATACATAACAATTATTTCATTGAAATAAAGCTTATGATCAGATAGAAAATTTATTTCACGAGGGCAGTGTCTTGAAGCATCACTTATGGTCAACTGTTTTTTTTGGGTTTTT